TTAGTGTGAAAAGCAAAACTAAAGCAATGTCACTTGATAAGAAGTCACTGCATACTTTTTTCATAGTGTTGATTGTCAGCTAGGACCGAAGCGTAAGAGGATGCTGAGCATTTCTCCATATTTATTCATGAGAAAGAGCTAGTTCATATTAATCGCCAAGCATAACTATGAATGAGATATAATTACATTAATAGGCATGAGATTGTTAATACATACTGTAAAGTGTCACTAAAATATACAGTGCATCAGGAAAGTGTTTATAGCGCTTCACTTTCTCCACAAGTTTTTATTTTACAGCCTTATTCCAAGATGAATTAAATTAATTTTTTTCCTCAAAATTATACACACAATATCCCATAATTAGAATGTGAAAAAATATTTTTTTGAAATTTTTACAAATTCATTAAAAATAAAAAACCTGAAAAATCACATGTACACAAGTATTCACAGGCTTTGCGGTGAAGCTCTAAATTGAGCTCAGGTACATTCTGTTTCAACTGATCATTTTTGAGATGTTTCAGCAGCTTAGTTGGAGTTCACCTGTGTTAAATTCAGTTGATTGGACTTTGGATAAAGTCTCAGGGTTAACAGTGCATGTCAAGGCACAAACCAAGCATGAAGACAAAGGAATTGTCTGCAGACCTCTGAGAGAGGATTGTCTCGAGGCACAAGGCTGGGGAAGGATAGAGAAAAATTTCTGCTGCTCTGAAAGTTCCAATGAGCACAGAGGCCTCCATCATCTATAAGTGGAAGACGTTTGGAACCACCAAGGCTCTTCCTAGAGCTGGCCAGCCATTGAAGCTGAGTGATCGGAGGAGAAGGGCCTTGGTCAGGGAGGTGATTATTAACCCGATGGTCACTCTGTCTAAGCTCCAGTGTTCTTCTGTGGAGAGAGGAGAACTTTACAGAAGAACAACCATCTGTGCAGCAATCCACCAATCAGGCCTGTATGGTAGAGTGGCCAGACGAAGCCACTCCGCACCTGGAATTTGCCAAAAGGCATCTGAAAGACTCTCAGACCATAAGAAACTAAATTCTCTGGTCTGATGAGACTAAAATTTAACTCTCTGGAGCGCTAGGCATTATGTTTGGAGAAAACCAGGCACTGCTCATCACCAGGCTAATACCATCCCTATAGTGAAGCATGGTGGTGGCAGCATCATGCTGTGGGGATGTTGTTCAGCAGCTGGAACTGAAAGACTAGTAAGGATAGAGGGAAAGATGAATGCAGCAATGTACAGAGACATCCTGAGTGAAAAAAATTAAAGCTGTAAACTCTCTCTATCACTCTCTGTGACCCCTTTAACTTGTACTCTATGTGGCCCTTTTGACCTGCTGGTGTGTTCCTGAGGTAACATTTTATCTCCTCTCTTGGCTGTTGCAACAATAACGTTATTTGTGGATCTAGACACGCTACTGGAGATCTGCAGAGCAAGTTTTCTTCACCGCGTCATCGTCTACAATGGATCAGCTGATCACTGCAGCCGTTTTGCAATCAGTGACTGTCAGTGTTTTATGAACAGCAAATAATTCATAAATTCATTCATTCATTCATTCATTTTCTTTTCGGCTTAGTCTTTTTATTAATCTGGGGTTGCCACAATGGAATGAACCACCAACTTATCCAGCACGTTTCATGCAGCGAAAACGTTTCCTTACAGCTGCAAACTATCTCTGAGAAACATCCACACACCCATTTACACTCATACACTACGGACAATTCACCTGTACCGCATGTCTTTGGACTGTGGGGGAAACCGGAGCACCCGGAGGAATCCACGCATACGCAGGGAGAACATGTAAACTCCACACAGAAACGCCAACTGACCCAGCCGATACTTAAACAGTGACCTTCTTGCTGTGAGGTGACAGCACTACCTACTGCGCCACTGCGTCACCCCTAATTTATAAATATATATATATATATAAATTATAAATTAATACAATTATTATTTTGTTGCTAAGTAAAACTAAACTGTTTATAGAAAGCCTCGTCAACTGTATTAAACCGAATCTTTGGCATGATAATCGTAACCGAATTGTGAGACTAATAATAGTTAGTATAGTTTCACACCCCTAACAAGACAAATGTTTGTAAAGAAACTTTTATAAGGAACATAATTTACTGTAAACAACTTAAAATATTCTATTATTTTGTGTTGTACAAATAGGACTCTGCTCACACTGTGCGATTTTAGCCACGATTTGATTATCTGAGACAAATCAGAGAAATTCAAAAAACAAAACTGTAGTTCTCAGTTAAAATATTCATCAACAGCAGTGGCCCTTAAAGGGTCACGAAACACCAAAACACATTTTTTGAGCTGTTGACAGTCGTATATGTGTCCCACACTGCTAAAAACACTATTAGGACACCTATATTTCGCTAAAAAGTGTAAATTGGTTGTTTTTGCGTTATTTTAAGCAAATTCGTACTTCCTGTTTGAAACGAATTTTTGAAGCTGTGTCACGGTCATGACATAATAGTGTGTATTCCAGCGTGCAGACTGGGCGTCTGTGCCTGAGTGAGTCTTATTACGTCTTACAGTTTGTTGCATTAATGCATGAGTAAGGCTTGGGTCAAACCAATCAGCGCGCTCTATTGTGCAACTTCATTAATATTCATTACTATCACCGTGTTTTCAGGACAGAGACGCCACGTTGTGTTGGCAAAACAAGCGTGAAGTGTTGCTTTTATAGTTTGCTGCAGTTAAGTTTCGTTTTCATTTTCTCTCTGTGAGAGCTCAGACTCACGTGTGGATAAACAGTGTACGCGACGCGCGACAACAATAACTTACGTGTCTAAGGAGGATTATTGTTTACCTGAGAGCTGTTCTCATCTGCAAACGCTGGGATCTGGAATCGTTTGTAGTATTATCTTCATAAAGATGCGGCTCTAGTTGCTGGTGATTGTCCTGTCTCTACAGATTTGGTAAGTGAGCGACCAGTGCTCTTTGTTTATTCAGTTTGTTCGTATCTAACAAACTATTGCACAGAGTGTAAACACGTTAGCACCACAACCAAACTTTAACCTCGTGTAGGGTTTTTACCGCATTTAGTGACCGGAATAACACGCGCGGCTTTCTGACACTACCTGTCGTGTGCATCTAAGTTTCTGGGAAATGCAGTGGGTTTTTTTCTCTCATTCGCCGTGCGGTATAAAACATTGCATGAAAAATACACGCTTAGAGCAGTTCCTCGAATCAAATATCTCGTGTGTCGCGAGGGGCATGAATGAATTCCCTGAATGAAAGAGCCAAACTGCAGTTAAAGTCCACCATTTAATAATTTGGCTAATAATTCGACTACAGATGTCCATGTAGGTTAAACACCATCACATTCTCCTGTATGTATGTGTGTGTGTGTGTGTGTGTATTTTGACTCTAAAACTCGCGCGTGCCCAAATCGACACTCCCACACCCTCCCACTTTAGTTCCTCCGACACTCCCCCCTAAACAGAGCTGGACACGCCCACTTTTCTGACTTTTTCCAAAGAAGAGGTGTGAAAACACCCTGCTGAAACGAGGGGGTTTCATGGCCCTTTAATGATGATCAAATGTTCCCTCTTATAAAGTTCTGGCCGTGTCAGAAGATTTAAACACATTTCTGCAGCACGACTACAGCTATGACGAGTGTCAATCCAAGAACCAGTAGGAGCACTGGATCCGATGATGCAATCAGCAGGATGAAAGGAGAGAAAAGTCATTCTTGTCAAGCTAAGTACTTTTCAAAACGATAACGATTGTAGCTTAAATACTTTCACTTATAAGTAGCTTGTACTGTAGCTTTTTAGGCTACAACTTCAGAGTAGCTTCCCAGCTTCGTGCATACTATAAATTGAGTATACTTTGAAAGGTGATGAGTTCAACCCTGCACATTTATAAAGTGAAGCCTATCTTGGGCTTAAGGATGATCAAGTGAGCCAAGGGTTTTTTGTCAGATTTATCTTACTTCTGCCAAGAATTCTGTGACTATAGTACAGCTAAAAAAGCTCAGACAGAAAGAACTGATGTGCAATACTGCAGAATCGTTCTTTCCATTTCTGTTCTCAATAAGGGAATAGCTTTAAAAACACAGCAGGTTGTTAAATTAATATGGAATAGGCATACAAATACAGAACCATCAATTAAAGTATAATCAGATTTAGCCATTAGCCAAGTTTAGCCAATGCTGCAACAAAGACTCATTGGAAATTCGTCGTTAAACATACATTTGACTGCAGTTTCCCTGTTAAATGAACACTGAGGGGCAGTATAACATCAATAACTTTTGTTCCTTTTCACTTTAATGATATTAACACAAAACACAAATGTCTATGACTTGTATCCAATACATTTTCTGCATCTATGAATCTCCATATGGACAACTTTTCTGGTGTGGTCAGTTTGCTCGGTAGCTCACATAGTATAGTACTGTACTTGTGACACAGAGCACTCGAGTTTGAATCTGGTGAAGCACGGTTCCACAAAACACTCATTTACTTTCCTCTGGCTTATTCCCTGATTTATCAGTGGTCGCCACAGCGGAATGACAGTTCTACAAAACACATAAACCAATGTAAAATCAAGGCGAAACTATCTAGCAGTGCACTTTTCTCTTACACTTAATATATACGCTTTTGAATATATTATTGGTTGGTTTTAGAGAAGGGATTGTGTCAGTGGTTCACTAGGTTGTCTGACAGCCCTGCATTCTCACGGAGGTGTGTCTGAAAAATTACAAAAAATGTACCCTATAAGTGTAAATATCGCCCTCTAGTGGATAAGTTACCTGAATTGTGCAGCAAAACATACATGGAGCAACATATTGTAAGTTTTCAAAAATGTAGACTGAAGCACGTATTACCCATGAGAATGGGCTGGAACCTTTTGCAGTTTCACTGTGGACTGACAACAGATATCAAAACACGGCATGCACATTTATCCTAAGAAGGCAAACACAAATCAAAAGAACAGTTTTTGAGACAGAAACACACACAGAGAAGTAATCAAAGCACTGACCTTAAAGCTCCAGTAGTTTGGCTGTTGCTAAGGAAAGAAAGAGAAAAGAGAAAGTGTTAGACATTTATCTCTGTGTGTGGTGGCAGACAGTCACATCTCCAACCATGTCACATCTTTTAAGATAAAAGAATCTGAAGGAAGATATGAGCTGAGAGAAGGACAGTGAGTATTTTTGTACACCAACATTTCAGACTCACATTCAATAACAAGCAACATATAACTCAAATAGACTGCAGAATTTAAGTAATGTTGACAGTATATACACCTTAAGGAAGGCAAATTATTAACACATGTCTTTCTCACCAAGAAGGTTCATACAGATTCCAAAGACAGATACTGATTAGATCAGGGTCTGGTTTATACGTGTTTGGAATTTGGGGGGTTTACGATGTGGTCACAGGATTTAATTGGTCAGTTTGTATGTCTCAGTATTTGGGCTTTAATCATATGGTCAAGAAAGATACAAAATAATTGGTGAACTTAACTCTGTCTTTTCCTGCTCTGTGGTTTTCCTGCTCTGCTCTTCTCTTGCTTGCTAACAGCTATCTTCGGGGCCTACTCTTTGTCTCTCTCTCCCTACCCCAGTCTTTCCCTCTTCTTAGGTAACATTACAACTTTTTAAACTTTTTTAAAATTTTATTTTACATGTAAGTTGGGTACAGTTAATATCATGTTTTTATCATTCATGTAAATCTTTTTATAGTTATTATTATTTTTATAGTTATATTATCTATACCGCATGTCTTTTGAATGTGTATGAAAACCCACTCGAACACGAGAAGAACATGCAAACTCCCACACAGAAATGCCAACTGGCCCAGTCAGGAATCAAAGCAGCGACCTTCTAGCTGTGAACCACTAATCACTGATCCACCATGCTGCCTCAATGTTAAAACAGTAAAATGAAATAGTAAAATGATAATAGAAATATGACACTGTGGTATTATAGTATTCTCATTTTTGATCAATTTAAAGAATTCTTTCTAAATCTAAACAGATTCAAAACTTCTTAGTGAAAGCTTACATGTCACATTTTCATATCACATCTGCTGCTTCAGATGCAGCTCTACCGGGCTTTAAAGCACATGGTGACACAATGACACATAATTCCTTCAGTCTGCTCATCATATGGAGCTGTTCTGAATGGTCTGGCCCTCTAAATGAGTCTGCATGAAGGTATTTCAAGGTTTTCACTCGCCCGTCCATCAGCTGCCCAGGCTGACTGACTAACTGACAAGATTGCAGCAAATGAGAAAAAAAATTAATTAAAAAGATTCCCTCTGTGTCTGAGCTTGGCCTGCTGCCCAGACCCATCAATCATCCCAAAATTGGTCATCTGTCTGCAGAGCTCTCACCTACATCTCCCATATTTTCCTGATTTTCACTTTCACAGAAATTTAAAAACATCATTATAGGATAAATCCATATTCTGACATGATTGTCTTTTTTTCTTGATCGCTAGATTTGTTTCTGTTTTAATTTAATTAGTGGTAGTAATTTTATTCACTGTCATTCCCACTCAAATGCCTTGAGGTTTGATGGAAATGACAGTGACAGATACTATTTAAAACATTGATTCTCATGTGATGTACGTATAGTACTGAACATAATTAATTCAATACATTAGAACAAGTGTGAAATGTGACTTGAGAGAGTTGCAAAAATGATATTATATTGTTGAACATTTCACAGTGAAATGGCTAGTGAGTGGTGCTAAAAGTGCTTTATTTTCTCAGGAACATAAATGAATGGGAATGACTGTGGCAATATTTCAGCAAAGTGATTTTTTCTTAACAGGAATAATGTACAGTATAAAATATAAAGTCATGGTGCAGTGAAACAAGAATTAATATTGTGTGTTATGATTCCCATGAGCTTGACTGCATCCATACATTTCTGCAATGGCTCAAATAACTTATTAATAAAGTCATCCGATATGGCAAAGAAAGTGTTCTTGCAGGACTCCTGTTCAAGAATTTTGGATTTATCTTCAATGCTATCTCCTTCATCTTACCGCAGACATGCTGAATAATGTTCACCCCAAACCATGATTCTTTCCTTCACCAAACTTGACAAATATCTATGAGAATCTTAGGTTTATGCTGGTTCTTATAGGTCTTCTGCAGTATTTGTGATGATTGGGGTGCAGTTCAACACATGATTCATCAGAAAAATCTACCCTGTGCCACTTTTCCGAATGATCAACTAGAAGTCAAGTTAATATTTGTTGGTCTTACATCTGGGATTGGTACCAATACTTTTGACAGGTAGTGTATTATTACACAAATAATACAGTATATTAAAAGCTGATAACAGTTTTGAGCAGGAAACCGTGCAAAAGTGTGTCTTCATTAATTGATATTCTGCCCTGTAATCATAATTTGTGTGGAGATGATTAAACGTTATGGCCGTTTTATTGCTCTGGCATTTATTTCAGCTGGAGTTCTGCAAAAATGTTGGTAAAGGTGTGGTTTTCCTTTGAGCATGAGTAGTTATAAAGGCTATGAGGCAAAAAATGTCCCATATATTCTCTGAATGAAACTCTGAATGATCGATCAAGACTTTTGAATATTTTATGATCAAGTCTAGACTGCAGTCAGCTGATTAAAAGTGTGTGTGTGAGTGTGTTTGTGAACATTTAGACAGGAAAACATAAAATGGGAAAAGCGTGCTGCAAATAAAACATCAGCTAAATATTTCATTCTACTCAAGGCTAAAAATGTTGTTTTACAAACTCCCTGGAAGCAGGATGTTGATATGAATAGTGTATAATAGCACACTGCTCATATGGCAGCAGCTTGGCGTTACATTTCTAGTAAAACAATATTCTGAGTAGCAGTTGGTCCTGGTACTGAGCAGCACTGCCCCAGGGATGAGCACTATGAAAAATATATGCACTATTGCATTCTTCTTCTCATAGATTGACAAACACTCACAATACACAAACTGAGCTTTAAGATATCAAGAAACACACATTGCATCAGAGCCACTTTGGGAAAAAAAAAAAAAAACCTCACATTGATTGTTTTTACTTCAGTATGATTTTGTGCTTTTGCCTGTCACAATAATCAATAATCAAAAATCGACTTATCCTGCAATACTTGGAGATGACCCTAATATTTTTTTGGTGTTGCAATATATATTTACAAATTCACTGAGCAGTCCCCATCAATATACTGGGGCATTAGGACCCACACAGACTGCACCCTGCAGGTATCACCAACAACACTTCCAACAACAACCTAGCTTTTTAAATATATTTTATCTCCTTATCATGTTTCCAATAGGCCTGTCACAAAAATTATTATACAGACTTATCGTGCAATACTTGGAGAAGACCTCAATCATTTTTGCCATTGCAATATCTATTTACAAATTCGCTTCACAGTAAGAAGGTCGCTGGTTTGAGCCTCGGCTGAATCAGTTGGCATTTCTGTGTGGAATTTGCATGTTCTCCCTGAGTTCTTGTTGGTTTACTCTAGGTGCTCCGGTTTCCCCCACAAGTCCAAAGACATGCACTATATTGGGTAGGCTAAATTGTCCGTAGTGTATGTGCGTGAATGAGTGTGTGAATAAGTGTGTATGGGTGTTTTCCAGTGATGGGTTGTAGCTGGAAGGGCATCCGCTGCATTAAACATATGCTGAATAAGTTGGCGGTTCATTCCACTATGGCGACCCTGGATTAATAAAGGGACTAAGCCTAAAAGAATATGATTCAGTGAATGAATAAGAGGACATTTACCTTTTGACATTATAGAATCTAAATAACCTTAAGATAAGAATTATTTTGTTATAATTCTTTCATTATTATTATGCTGTTATATAATCATTATACAATCAGTGGCATAAGATAAACTCAAAAAGACAATTTTATCGCTAATTGCAACAATTTCTGTGACAATATATCGCAAAGCAATATTTCCTTCTCGTGACAGACCTATTTGCGCTACTTCTTATGTTTATGGCTGATCTCTGAGTAATGACCAATCGAAGATGATCATGTGTTTAAGAAGCAGGTTAACCTAGTACAAAATAGAAACTCAATATCTGAGCTATAGAGGGTGATTCCATTTACTGTGATTCCAAGTACTGTAGTTGAAGGCTCAGTTTTCTCCTGTTATTAACATGCAGTTTCTTTTTTTGGTTTACAAGAGATCAGTGGTCAAAACTAATCTAGAGGGGTGTCTGAAGAGCTACGAGGGATCCGGGGGTGAGAAGGGTGCAAGACTTATTTGAGGACTGGGAGGGAGAAGTGCGATTTCCGGGAGATTATCACTCATTTGCGGGCATTATGAGTCCCGCAAATGCATATAGACTCCCGGAGCTTCCGGGAGTGTTGGGATGTCTGAATGTCACGTTAAACAACTATAGTGAGACGCGATCCAGTGGTACAGCCTTCAAAAACTCTCAGACGTGCACCGCTCTCTGCCTGGAGCTCAGAGGAGCGCATGACAGCGAGTGACTGTGTGTGTGTGTGTGTGTGTGTGTGGCTGTGTGTGTGTGTGGTCACGTGATGTGCATTTTCAGAGGGCTGTTCAGTATTTTTTCACATTGTCATTATGGGGTATTGTGTGTTGAATTTTGAGGAAAAAAAAGAATTTAATCCAGTTTTAAATAAGCCTGTAACATGAAATAATATGGAAAAAGTTAAGCAGAATGAATACTTTCCGAATGCACTGTATCAGTCACTCAGCCTATGTTCTTTTAATAATGTTAAATATCTATTAATTAGTTCATAACCTTTACTATTTCGTTAGGAGTACAGTGGCTGATATTTAAGTAAATGGCTAGTATTTTAATGTCTGTTGTGTCGCATCGCGTTTGGTGCAGACAGCCAAATTGCTTGTTGCCGGAATCTTGTTGCGTCATGTTACACTGTGAAAAATTATATGACATGCCAGAAGTCATGACTACAAATGTTTTATGGTACTTTAACTTATTTAAATAAATAACAGGTCTCAACTACATTTTTAAGTTCTACAAAGTTTAACGAAATATTTTTAGTCGTATTGTTTAATATAAGTTGA